TCAACAAAATATGATTAGTCTTTAATGTAATATGAGAAATATGAAAGAAAAACAACTGTCAAATATTGATGAGCAATGTCAATTTTGGTATGTAGGATAAGTGATGTTAATTTGGGCATTAATAAACCAGTTTACAAACATCTTAAGTGTTTTTTACCACTTAAGCACAACATATCTTAGTTAACATGAGATAAAATATGTTAATAATTAATAAGCCTAGTAATTTGTTTATCTTACAAACCCAGGTGCTACTGTATCTTAAATCCCACATTGATCCACAAAAAAAGGTTGAAAGGTCACAGACCTTTGGTAAGTTAACAGGTAACTGATGGTAACAGGACCAAAGTTTTTGACCATTACCTTCCAAACAAACTAGGGGTCTGCCGTGGTTCCCCAAATTCTAGGACGGGACGGACCAACTAACAGTGCTCGGTTCGGGGCTGAAGTAATTTTTGGGCCAAGCATGGGTAGAGTAATTTTTATTAGAGGTGTGCGAATGGCTAGAAATCATCCGTACAAAGATTGTGTGGTCGAAAATTCATGGTTTTGCCGGCATCGCGGGGATGATATCTTCATGGAAATGTTCTTGATTTTGCCGTGATTGAAGGATACGTTCATGATTTCACCATAACCGCAGTAGATGCTTTTGATTTTTCTGCGCAACCACAGGAGACAGTCCCAATTTTGTCGATATGTTGACAGATGACGACGATGTCTGGGTGACTGCAGAATTATTGATTTTGCTGTAACCGTGTGAAATGTAAATTTACAATATTTTAAACGGATTGTAGTGTAAACATTAAAAATTAAAAAAAACCAATACTTTAATTTTTTATTAACTTTTTGTGTATTTTTATACATATTAAAAGGTGGCAGTCATGTCAATCATCATTGGATATGTGTAGATAACATTTATAAATAATGTATGCCATTGTTTGTTCTGCAGCCTGTGTACAACCTTGAGTCTCCAGTGGGAGCCGGAGGTGATTGCTGTGGCGCTGATGTACTTGGCTGGTAAACTGAGCAAGTTCGAGGTGGTTGACTGGATGGGCCGGACAAGCAAGCACCTGCGATGGTGGGACATGTTTGTAGAAGATATAACTATGGATCTACTAGAAGGTATAGCAGCTAAGTACCTACCAAAACCTTTTGTTTTATGTCCTATGTTTATTTTACAAGTGATGTTTAGTTTATCACATAAGTTTAAGATAATTTTTACTACCATCAGTTCTTAAGAAAAGTACTGGTACCGAGAACCAACCTTGAATTAGCATCAATTTGGCAACAACGTGTGTTGCTCATTGGCTTCTTCAAAGTCACGTGGTAAATAGGCTCCTCCCTCAACTGCAGACTCTTATGGAATGTACTGTAGTACGTTGACAGTAGCATGTCTGATTAGAGGTTCAACCCACAAAATCCTCCCATCCATTAGAGCCATTTATATCACGATCATCTTCTGTGATCTCGGTAACGTTGTAAATTTTCAACCGCACAATCTTCCCAGAGCTTTCTGCAATTTGTAATAAACTTGAGTATTAAGTGCTAGTAAATAATTTGATTCATTCTTTACTTTAAACATGGTTTGTATTTTGTGTTTTGAGAATAATAAAACCTTTAATGTTTCAGTATCCAACATGTTAAGTTAAGCAATTGTTTTAACTGTCTAGAACTGGTTATAAAATAGTCTTGTTTTATTATGCACATATGTTTCAGACATCTGCCATCAAGTGCTGGACTTGTACTCTCAGAACAACCCCCAGCCCCAGGACTCGCCCCCGTTAGTGCGTCATCCCCCTCCTGCTCTAGCCAGCCCTGCACCCTCACTGGCCTTCCCCGCCCACAACTCTCCCGCAGGACCTCCTCCAGGTAATCCTACTACACTGTGGACAGAACTGGAAATTCCATTATAATATTTTTGCCAGTTTAGAATAAACTCAGTCACTTACAATTGAATTGAGTCATCAACAGAGTGTTAAAAATATTATTATTACACTATTATTAGTATTACATTAGATTACATTTTATTTTTGTATATTTTTAAGTGCCGTATTTATTTATTGGAATGATAATCATCCTATATTATGATTTTTTGTGTAATAACTTTTTTCTTCATGCAGCTGCAAATCAAAATCTTCCTAAATTCTTTTCAATTCGAATTCGTCTTTCAAAGCATCTTTCTGTAACTGACGCTTGTGCTTGGGTTTTTTTAATTTTTTTAAATAACAATTTCTAAAAATTGTATTTATCCTACACCAAGAGAAATAGAAGAAGTAGCTCTATCACAGCCTTTTTTGGCATATGCAAACAGAAAAAGCTGAATTATACCTTTAACCTTATCGATGATTTACAAATGATGTAATAAAGTTTTCCATGCATTTGTCCAGTTAACTGTTAGCATAATTAAACTACTTGTTTTTAAAATGGAAGAGTTATCAATACAAGCAAATCAGTGTCCATGCCATACAACATAACATTTGGCCGTCTTTTTAGTTAATCTATTCCAATAATGATAGTAAAAATATCAACATAGGTCTAATATTGACAACAATGGTTTAAATCCCAACACTCTAAACTATTCAGAAACTATATAAAGTGCCTACTATTTAAAATTAAGTGCTAAAGACAATTTAAATAAAAAATTGTGGTAATTTACAATACACAGGCTTCAAACTATTGATAACTAAACAACGTAAATCGTGAACAATTCATGATGGTTTGCTCAAATGTGTTAAAATTTTTTTAATATAAACTAACAAGTGGAACTCGGACAGAAAACGCAAATCTTATACAGTAAGATATCAGTTAAATTTAATATGATTAAATTTTATATATGGTACCTAGGTAAATAAAATTACAGTTTTGTCTGTACACAATACCATTTGTATTATAGATTTTGATTTTGATAAATGTTGGTAGATTTATCTCTTTCATCCTATACTATTAACATTTGATAAAACTAGGGAAACTTTTTCCCGTCACCAAAGTAGCAAACCTAAGTACCCGTTAAACACAATGCTATTTAAATAGGGAATATCATATGATTGTTTATGGGAATATATCAGATCACTGATCAGGCAAATTGGAATTTGCTTAGTCGGCAGGTTTGCTGCAGTAGAGGTATTCTAAATATTGTTGATGGAAGAATTGGATTGTAAGTAAAAGTAAGATTGTAAAATAATGCTTAATTATATCTTTCTTACAGTGTTGTCTGCAAAACCAATCAAGAGTGAGGGGAAGTTGAACAGCAATGGTGAGAAGATCCCCACAGTGACTGGCGGGGTGGTTTCTGCCTCGGACAGCAAGTCTGCGGGTGAACTGTACGGGTACCCGGGGTACACGCAGCCTCCACCCGCCTTCAGTACCCGTCCTCCACCCGCACAGTTCCCCGCTACCTACCCTGCCAGTAATCCACCTCCCCACACTTACCCTGCAGGCTACTACCCTCCAACCAACCACTCTCAACCGAGACCCCCCTACTAAGTCATTTGTGCATGTTGTATATAGGTGTGTATTTTTATGTATTTTTTATGAAAGTAAATCGTGAAAGATCAATAATTGTGTTTTTCCTTTGATGAATTCCCTATTCATTAGACTGTAGTAGTTTAAAAACAAATATCTTAAGTTCATTTTATCTGCTTGTGTTAAGAGCTTATTTTTTCAAACATTTAACTTATTTTGAAATGTTTGCATACGTCAAATGGTGGTATGCATTCTTAAATGTTTTATTTATCAAGTTATTTATCTGCAATAAATGTTATTGACACAAAAATATGTTCTTTCATTGAATTTATACAACAAGAAGAGTGGTATGCAATTTGGGGGACTAAGAATGGATTTATAGCAAAGAGGACATTTCATACCAATATTGCTGTATGTTTTATGTCAGTTTTAGCATAAAAAGAACTTAGGTAAAAAAAACAACGTACCAAAGTGTGCTGATGCATAACACCGATCCTTTCATTAACACCAACTTTTCAATGATTCAGCATCTGGGACGGTGGCGCCGTGCTGTAATCCAGCTATTAAAAGGTCACAAATTGTGGATACAGGCATGCAATGTGGATACACCCTGGTGTGGATTAACACCTACAATAGTGAGTAGTATGACTATCCGCAGTACTATCCTGACAATTGGACCAATTCGTAAACTACAAGGCAAAAATGTGGTTTGAATTCCACTATAAACTGTAGGTCTCAGTTGCCATTGGCTGTATGGGCTATTAATTGACAGCTGTGTCTAAGGAACATGATGCCTTAGTCAATAACAAGGCTACAAGATCGCGCCACTCATCCTACACTCATCTCCATTCATACTTGGCTTAAAGTACCTACATTTGTATGGTCGCCATTTCAGAATAAAGTATTAAACTATCTTATAATATGTCTTTATAAATTACTAGCTGCTTTACCCGTGCTGCGCGACAGAAAGAAACAAAAAGTACACAGAGTGTGTTATTTCAGTGATTTAAAACCTTGTTTTAGGTACCAAATAAAACAATCTAATCATAATCAATAACTCGTCCCCTAATTATTTAACCAAACACAAACAGTAAAGCACAAATCATGAAATTAACCCTAAAATAATTTAATCAAAATTTCGTCGACACTAGCGCCTAGTGTCACTAACAAGAAGTAGACAAAGACACATGAAAACCAAATTAAAATTTTACAATGGGATGAGAAGTCTACTTGTGTTGTTAGTCTATATAATAATTCTGATACACAATATACTCTAGATAATTACACAGGATTGAGATGGCATGAATTTACTATATAAAGATTTTGTGAATATTCTGTACTTAAGAAAGTTTTAATAGCTTATTATTAAAATTGGAAGTACTGTACAGTTATCTTGAATATTGGTGGAAAAAATGAATATTCTTGCTCACATTGAATAATTATGTGTAAATAATAATCAATGTTTCTTTTTTGTTGTTTAAAAAAATATCTAATCATCTGTAGCCTGCAATGTTTTATTTTTAACCTGCAGAAGTAAACAAACATCAAACTACTACCTTTACAAATTCAAAGCACAAAAATGGTGGATTGTGACATCGGTGAGGTGTTCAAAGGGTTCTTGACAACTCGAATGTACCACTTTAACTTCATGTTTAAAATTCTAGCGCTTTGCATTAACTTCTACTGCTTGGATACGTTCACGCTTGGAGTGGAGGGAAGGATGCTGCCTGTGTATAGTGCTCATGCCACGGCCATCTTCTACTTCACTATTCCCACCTACAACGTCATTCTGTCAGGCATCTGCGTGCTTTTCATCATCAACCAAATACCCTCCAAGCTGATACAGCAAGTATACTTGTTGACTGGAATATGCATGTACATCATATCTGGTACCATGGGAATAGTGAACACGAGAGACAATGACTTTCTACCAGAAATGTTTGTCATGAGTTGTCTACTGTTGGCTGTCGCTGCTGCGATGACGTTTGATTATATCATTCTTCGTGATTATTTTGTCCCGCATCGAAAACGACCACCGAGGCGATTTGAAGAGGAGGAGGAAGATTCTGACGAGGAATAATTGGAGGTGATCGCAGGGGTTCGCTTGTGTTTATTGACTTTGTGAATATATTTGTATTCATTAGAGATTACTGGTATAGTATTTTAATACATATTACGAATAAAAATTTTTGAACCTTTTGTTGAATGGCTTGATTTTATTTAAGGCAGATATGATTTCACTCTGGATACCTAAATGGTACCTTAATGAGGGTACACCTGATAAAACATTTGAATAATTAAACCAAAGTGGGCTTATTTCTAAAGCTAAAAGGGTTAATAGTTGATGCAAATTTCTGAAGAGGGAAATCACAATATTGTAGTTGTCAATATTGTAAAAGCTAAATATTATAAAGACCACTATTCAGATATATTTATTCTACTAAAAGTTGAAGCCTACAATTAAACTGATAACTGATGTGACTTAGTTACATAATATAGTTTAAAGTGACAGTGTAAAGTGGGTTGTGTTGTGGTTCTACTACATTCAACTAACATTATGTGATAGTACATCTCATTACAACTAATTCAACCATTATCTATGTGGAAACATTTGTTTTTATTTTGGCCTGTAAGTTATGTTCTTAAAAACAGTTTTGCTATTTAGTGTCACAATTTTAATGGTGAGTTTTGTTTACTAAATGATTGTATGGTTATTGTTTACCATATTATATATTAGTTATTTTTTAACAGTGTTCTTAATGTTGTAGTTCACCCCTGTAAGGCAAACACATGCCTAGGGAACCATAGGTACTAATTAAAGCTCTTGAAATTGGGACAACCCAAAAACATTCTAAATCTATAAGAGAAGAAGTATGTATGTATTTATGTTATGGACTCTGAAATCACTCCTCAAATTGCAATGAAACTTTCAGGCTTTTAGCGAATTTCCCATATAGGGAATAAGCTATTACCGTAGTACTCATGGTAAGACCTGGACGCGGGACCGATTTTTTTTTTCGTTTTGAGGTCCCTTGAGGCCAAAAACAAAATCCGTTCAAATTCATATATATATGTCCGTTTGCACGATAACTCGAGCAAAAATGATCCGATTTTGATGAAATTTGGTACAAACGTATAAATCTACGTTTATTCGAACGAATTCGCGATCCAGCATGATCGGACCATGGGAACGGGGTTTTATGGGGTAAAAATAGGGTTTTCCCATTTTTGACCCAAAAAACATAAAATTTAATTTCTTTCCAAACCATTTTGTAGAGCTTAAAAAAACAAATAATTTAGTATATTGAAGCGTTATTGTGCTCCTAATGGTTACGGAGAAAATTCCAAAAAATTGTAAATTCAAAATTCCAATGTTATTCTTATGGAGAATAAGTAAACTGTTGTAGTTTGCTTGTTTATGAAAATATTTTGATAAAATTTGGAAAATGTTTTTATTTCTTACTAACTATTAACATAAAAAAAATACCCCCGCTGCAGCAAACCTGCCGACTAAGCAAATTTCCATTTGTCTTATTTGATTTTCAATAAAATATATTTTAATAACATTAGGTTTAACGAGTACATAGGTTTGCTGCTACAAGGAAACTAATAAAGTGTGTTTTTTTGTAAAATATTGATAGCTTAGTACAAAATAAATAAATTTGATCAAAATACAAAATATATCCATAAACAAGCAAACTGTGATTTGACAATATTCTCCATAAGAATAACATGGGAATTTTAAATTTAAAATTTTTTAAATTTTCTCCGTTACTATTAACTGAACAGAAATACTTTTATATACTAAATTAATTGTTTTTTTAAGCTCTTAAAAAAGGTCTAAAGATAAATTGGGAAATTTTGTGTTTTGAGGGTCAAAAGTGAGAAAATCCAATTTTTACCCCATAAAACCCCCGTTAAGCCCCGTTCCCATGGTCCGATCATGCTTTAAACCAAATTTCATCAAAATCGGACAAAAATTACTCAAGTTATCGCGTTCACGGACGTATATATATATATGTCTATATAATTCTACATGCAAAAATAAGTCAAAAATGAAGAATAAAATTTTTTGGATTTCGGCTTAGTTTAGCCGTAATCCGCCATTTTGTTTTTTGGGGAAAATATTTATTATTTCAAAATCCCTTTAACTTGGCAAAATTGTTTACACTATAGTAAGTAACATTTATAAAAAAAAATATTATTTTAACTTTCCAAATTTCAAAATGGCGGCCGTTTGAATTTTTTAATGCCAAATTTCATGAAAACCGGTACCTAAATCAAAATTTTGTAAAACACAAAAGTATTAGTATTTATTATGACAAATCCAACAAAACAAAATGAATAAAATCGGTTCATAAATAAAGAAGCTGTGTTTATTTTAGTAATTTAGACTGAAATTATTAATATTAAAATGTATTAAATGTAATGTAATAGTTTATGTAACGTATTAAGTAATTTCAGTCTGAATTACTAAAATAAACACAGCTTCTTTATTTATGAACCGATTTTATTCATTTTTATTTTGTTGGATTTGTCATAATAAATACTAAAACTTTTGTGTCTTACAAAATTTTGATTTAGGTACCGGTTTTCATGAAATTTGGCATTAAAAATTCAAACGGCCGCCATTTTGAAATTTGAAAATTTAAAATAATAATTTTTTTGAAAAAAGCGACTGACTATAGTGTAAACAATTTTGCCAAGTTTCGTAAAAATATCTCAAAGGGATTTTGAAATAATAAATATTTTCCCCAAAAAACAAAATGGCGGATTACGGCTAAACTAAGCCGAAATCCAAAAAAATTTTATTCTTAATTTCTGACTTATTTTTGCATGTAGAATTAGGTCCTGTATAGCCCATCACACTTTTTTGTGACACCCTGTATATATATATATATATATATATATATATACATATATAAAAATTTGAACGAATGGTGTTTTTGGCCTCTGGGGACATCAAAATGAAAAAGTAAATCGGTCCCGGGTCTAGGTCTTACTGTGCCACCTACGGTAATAGCTACTTCCCTATAGGGAAATTCGCTAAAAAACAGTTTTACCCTCCCTGATGCAGCAAACCTAAGTACTTGTTAAACTAATTCTATTTAAATATGGAATAAATGTTATATTTTTAAGTAGACATTTCAGTGTAAATCCAGTCAGTCAAATGGAAATTCGCTTAGTCTGCAGGTTTGCTGTGGCGGGGGTATATTAAGAATTATTCAAGTATGGTTTGTGTGAAGTTTGGTGCAGATCAGTCAAAAGCGTTTAACAGCCTTTAAGAATCTTAACAGCTGTTTCAACTAAACAATTTGATTCTGTGGTGATCAATAGCATAGCATTAACAAGTTACAAGGTTTACCAACAGGGTGCAGCACTTCAAATTTAACTGTTTTATAGTTCTTAACAACCTTGATGACCAACCTTATTTACAAGAAATAAATAATTTTTTTCCTTCCAAAAACATTTTTATACAGTAAATCACATAAATAATCAATCCTGGCCAATGAAACATCTGATCTTAGCCAGTAACAAAGCTACACAGACACAGACCATCTCACTCTATTCTACACTCATTTTGGGTTAAAATTCGCATACCGTACCTAGGTGGTGTTCCTATCTATATTTATAATAAATAATGATAATGATAAGGACGCAACTGAACTTATTTTAAACCAAATGTGAATTAATGATGAGTGTACCCAACATAAAATGGTCTTTGTTAATGCTTCTCTAGGAATTCGGAGGAAATGTTGCTGGGGACAAACAGGACTCTGTTCAATCTCAACTTTTTGTCGACAAAACATCTTTAATAAAATTAGTCTCCCATGAAGTTGATCATATTCTGCTGATTTCTGCTCCTGCGGGATTTGGAAAAACAACAAATATGGACATGATGAGGCGTTTCTACGAGATACAAGTGGATGAAGATGGTGGTTTTGTTGCGAGAAATAATACAAAATACTTTAAAATATTTGCTAGCTTATACTTAAAAAATAGGATTCCATCGCATTTAGATGTTTATGAAGACAAGAAATTTTTTAATGCATTTTTTGCACAGTATCCTATTATACATGTTGATTTTACACAGCTTGATTTCAAATCCTGGAGCAAATTTAAAGAATCTTTTGTCAAAATCATCAATGAACTTTTCAACTACCATAGCTATTTACTAAGTAGTGTTAAGTTAAGTGATAAAGAGAAGGTTATGTTTAGAAATTACCAATTTAGCGTTATATGTAGGGAGCTGGAACCTGTACAGCTAAAAGAAAGTATGACGTTTTTAGCTTCAATGTTGTACAAATATTTTAACCAAAAGGTAATATTGCTGATTGATGAAATAGATTCTATAATCCATGGTCAACTAATGAACATTTGTGACAACACCGAGGAAATAATTACCTTCATTGCTGATCTGGTAAAGCATACGTTAAATTCTAATTTGATTGCAAAAACTGTAATAAATTCTTCCTCAAGATTTTGTAGAGTATTTACTAAAGGTGTTGGCAAGATAAACCATTTTATTCACTCTGAAAAACATTCTTTTAATAAATTTTATGGATTTACAGAGGCCGATGTGGTAAATTTAGCTGAAATATTTGGGCTAAAAAATAATTTGACCACCATTCAAGTTTGGTACAACGGCTATAAAATTCCCAAAAGTGATCTTAAAATGTATAGCTTTAATTCCATATCAAATGTTATGTTTAGGAAAGACATAGACATTTACTCCAAAAAAGGTAAATATCCTAAAAAGCTGGAGAAATTATTTCTCATCAAAGGGATTAGGAGGAAAGTAAAGACTTTGATTAAAAATGATGTTATAAATGTTGCAGCTGTAAAAGAAATAACAGTAAAAGATATTTTAAGACTGAAGGAAATATTCAATCAAGATTCATACACTGATCTGTGTTCTAGAGATGAATCACTGATATTCGATTATATGTTGAACCTAGGATATTTAACTGTAGTTGATTTAATTGAGAATTGCTCTATGATGACTTTAAAAATTCCGAATATGGAATCAAAATCTGAGTTATTAGATTTGGTTTATTCCATGCCATATTTTAAAACTAAATTGAACTTAACAGACGAGGAAATTCTCACAGTAAATGAAACTTTTCTCGATTCCAAAATGTCAAAGTTTTTAGATGAACCAGTTCTTACATCCTCCCATTATATATAATTTTTATATAAAACTAAATATTAGTACTGGTATCTAAGTTCATATTTTAACAAATTTATTTAGTTAAATTTGCCTATTTTTGATTATAGTAGTAGAGCCAATGGTTGTAGCTATGATTTACAATTATTTACAATTGGATAGATGTTTATAGTAAATGTGTTGCAATCTATTTCGACCAGTCAAACTGGTGAATGGTTATAAACAGGCCCAATTTTACACATACAGTAGTTTTATATTTTATTCTATCTTAAAATAAAATCCATAAAATGTTGCATTACAATAAAGGTGTCCAACTAAATGTACTCGTATGTAAAATCTCCAAATAAATAATGATCGACTATATTCAGGCTTTCAACCCACACCTATACCTCAATTTAAAAATTGGTCTTTTGAGATATGTTATTGGACATTTTTTTCAGTAAAAACTGAATTATACTCCAGTTGGAAACATTAGTATCATCGTAGTAGCCTGTTACAAGTACCGTAATGTGTCCTAACTTGCAAAAAAAAAGTAATTAATACCACAGAAAAGCAAATTATCTAATTTAATTAGTGTATTTAATTATTCTAATGTGTATACTGAAACCATTAATGAAAGTTTCAAATTATAAAATTGAGTAGACTGTTTATATACGTTGGTTTTCAATTTCGATATATATTTGTGTAACTTGGAGCATTGAATATTTTGGTAATTTTTCCAAACTTTAATTTACGAATTACGTGTTATTTAAGAAAATTCCATTATAACTTTGATGCAAATTGTAGTTCACGTTTCAAGAAGTGCCTTCATTTTTAACAATGCAATATCACAACACCATTGCAGCACACAATGCGTTTTGTTTATGTAAGGCAGTTCGGTTGGAAAATCATTTCAACTGTACTCTGAATCATTCTACCTATATACGGTAAACCAACCAATAATCAACCTATACAGTAGTACTGTAAGTTCTTACTTGTGAGTTCTTACTTGGTACTGTTTGTCAAGGTAAAAGAAAACTTGATAATTATACAGTCGTCGAGAATAATGGGAATTTAGTATACAGTATTTGGTAAACAGTGGATCTCATGATTACCATAACATTCATAACCATAACCATAACACGATTCTTTGGATTAAACTAAGAGTCAAGCGGTGAAATTTGAATAGAACATTGTGAATTGTGAATTTGTGTAGCGTGAATAGTGAATATGTCAAGCTATATGTTCACAACTGGAAATATACACGGAGTATACTCCGAGTAAACTACCTGGAAAGACTTTAATTGTGTATTTGTTCCTTACGTCAACACTCTAAACAATAGAAATCATATAGACATGGATATAAAATTACTTTTCTGTCTGAAATGATTTTTCTGTCTGTCTGTCTGTAACAGGGCCGAACTTACCTAGGGGCGGACGGGGCGAGCGCCCGGGGCCCCCGGGCCTAGGGGGGCCCCGGAGGGGGCCCCTTGCACAGTAGTTTTTATTAATAACTTCGAAAATTAACCAGGCACTTACCGAATGCCCTTCTTTTTTAACAGCTTTATTGTCGTTATCCTATATTTAAGGTTATTGTTAGGGGAATTTTAAGGTATTACTAGGAACAAAATTCTTGACTCAAGGGACTTTTCCTCAGGGTTGCACTTTGCCCCGTGCTTAGGCCTAGTTTACACGAGCATAGCTGCTAGGCTGTGACAGACCAGTTTTAGTTCCAATGAAGCCGTTCACACGAACGTAAGGCCGCGGAGATTGAGTTGAAGGGGGCCCCTTCGCTTGGGGCAAAAATTACAATAAATAATATAAAAACGCTTGTCCTAACGTAGAACGTAACTTGTACAATTGTGTTGGGTTGAATGGAGATTCAAAGGAGTTGAATCTTACTTGTTGTTGTTACTTGTACCTTAATTGTTCAATAATTTTGAAAAAGAAAAAGATTGCTCTGTTTATGTTTTATTAAATGTTATTCTTTTACCTCTAAGTATATACCAATCATGATTTTAAGGGGCAGAAGTTTATATTAACCATTCAATTAAAAGGTTTTGTAAAATAGTTATTAGGTTATACGTCGAAATTTGGATCTCCAATTTAGTCGTTAGAGTCAAAATCATACAGCACCAGAACGATAAAAAAAATTATATAGACATTTTATAACATCTAGGGTCGTCTGATGTTAACAAAAATTACATTTATTGGGAGCGGGCGAGCGTTGTCGACTGAAATCGTAAACAAGAAATTGAAGAAATGAGCAGAAGCAGCTGCAACAATAAATGATAATGAGCTGATGAGGGATCCTGTCTAGTCCTGTCTGTCTTACGCACGCGCATACACATACGTACAATGCTTTATCGCCTATCCAAAACAATTTAAATCACTTTACTCCCAGTGTGTTTTCGGTTGACATTGTCGTACTTTTTTGTTGTATTTTATTAATAATTCTGCAAAAACTACAAAGAACAAAGCTGAAGTGAGTAATGTTGTATTGAATGTTATGTTTGTGTTGTATTAATCGATTATATATTGGATACATTTAAATATCTTTCAGTTTTTCATATAAATGGTTAGCTTCAACATTTTACTCGTCAAGAAAAAACTCAAACTTGTTAAGTTCTTAATGGTACTTTCATGCTAGGACTATACAAACGAGAATTCCATACCAAAACCATTATGAAAATAAACATAAGTCATAGTTTATGGTTTTATAGTTTTAGTGCAGCCAAGAAATGTAGGAAAAGGGGGTTTTAATTGCCAGGCCAGAGGCCAACATATCAGATTGGGAAGTGACATTTATAGGGAAAATAACTATGTTCTAAACCGAATAATGATTAATCTATAAAAAGTAAACTTTAAAACTATTTTGACTTGTATCTTATAAACGTAGTAAAAGGTTTGTTAGTAAAATCATAGTAGTAAGTTATAAAATAAATTAAAGTTTTAAAAGTTAATGCTATCTCTGACTTACAGCACCTGTTTAAATATAACTTATTCCATTAATTAATGTCAGTTATTTTTTATTTGGGTTTTCGTTTTCATTCAAGCACCAAATAGATTGTGTATTACAGTCAAAAATAAATTTAAATTAAACCTTTTACAAGTATGTGTTATTTTATTTTTATTTTATCTATAATTTTCATTATTTTTTGCAAAGGTATTAGGCCTGCATTTTAATGTATTGCAAAAATGTGTAAGGTACCTGCTAGATATACAATTTTTATAAATACAGTTACACCAAAAACAAATCATGACACCGTACATTGTAGCTATTTTCAGACTTAAATATTACATAAAATTAGTTTATGCAAAATACAGCATACTATTCTAACAGGTTTACATATTAATTCACCTTTACATTGCCTATTTAAAATTATTGTGCATGTAATATGCGTTATATTGTGTACCACATATTCTCGTATAATCATACTGGGGGCCCCATCGGCAAATTTGCCCGGGGCCCCTGAAGTCCCAAGTCCGGCCCTGGTCTGTAACTTTTGAATTCCTAAAGAGATTTACTTTAAATGTAGTAGATAAGTAGACACAGACAGTGCTAATCTTAGCACAAAATATCATATTTCTAAGTTTTACCATTCCAAAATGGTGGTAATTTAACATTGTATGTTTTAAATATCCTAAAACTATCAACATCAACATTTTAAGGTGAGCCTACTACTGAACCTATACCACTGACGATTAAAAGTATTCACCACTAGGGAACATTTAAGCTGAAGCATCCAATCTAAAGGCGTTTGACTGTAAATATTTACCAAATGACAATAATTATCAAAGAGAGTAAAATATGAACATAAAGCGAGTAAAAACATTGGTTTACAAACGATATTTCAATGATAAAATTCTTTTCCTACAGTCACCCGACAAAGTTGGCTTCCTTGTACTTGTACTGTTTATAGTACAGAAAGCTGCTAATTGCTGCATATTTATACTTTGTTGTACGGTTTATACTTTGTCGTACGGTTTATACTTTGGCGCACATCAGAATCCCAACGAAACAACACAAAACAGCGTGATTCTATTATGCACGTAATCCGTGTACGCTTGAAAATAGGTTGGCAACAAAGATAATAATACTATGAGCAGCTGATTGACTATTATAACTAAGATTTAACCTGTCATTTCGTGTTTATAGTTTATGTTCTCTTTTTGGTATTTCTGAACTTTCTGAACTTTTCTTTTAAACGTTTTCAAAACATTCCTTCCTGTTCTTAATAAACAAGAAAATACCTTAAAAGCATTTTTTAGGCGTGGAAACCACTCCAAATTACAAAAATATACGGAACTATTTTCTAAAGTCGCGGAGCACATTGCTTGCCGAGGAAAAAATACAGGAGTGATACGGACCGGGGACTACTTTCTCTAGGGCACCTATTTGCGTTGCCAGCTGAACCTAAAAACGTGTTGTATAGTGTTTGAAAGACTAATTATTTATATGCTTTATAGTGGCTGTAGGGAAAATATAATGTGTAACACGAGTGCAAAAGGCCTTTGCTGCACCCGAGATCATTCCGTCACTCGCCTGCGCCTCGTGCGTAAACGTTGCTCTCGTGTGCAGCAAAGTGCCACTTTGCTCACTAGTTACACAAATAACTATTGAGACAGTGACGGATACTTGGGTGCTGAATATGAGTGTAGAAAGGAGTGAGATGATCGTGTAGCTTTGTTACAACAGCTGTTTCATTGATTTATGTACTCCACATACATAATTAATGTTTGGGCGCATCTCCAACCAATTATGAAACAGATGATCTCGCCGTCCGTGATACCGTGATGTCACATGCCACGCGTGCGTGTGACGTCATGACACGCCAAACACGACGGAGAAAGCAGTCAGATTTACTCTAGAATAATAGAAGGTTGCGTAAATGATATGTGATTATCACTTCCAGAGTTGGAAGTGCCGATCTTCCGCATGCTTCTGTGGGGCGCATAAATGAGGGATGGTTAGGCCTAATGGTTGCTACATCATGAGTAGGTTTGGATCGTAGAATGAGCTTTATGATACAGAAGGTTTATATTAGATTGCAC